CGGAACAGCAAGGCTCCTCCAAATCCTGTCCTCTCTTTTGTTGACAGCTGCAGTTTTCAAAACCATGAAAGCTGAAATATGTCCAAAAACTATTTTTTTTGTACATTTGCACAGTAAAAAGTTATTTGTAATGATGTGTGCCCTATCTCTGGCTGCTGCTGCATTTGTTAAAACTCTTATTTTTATTCAGTTCACAGTCTCTTGCTCTGGCTCCCAGTAGTGCTGAATAACTGACATGGCAGGTGGATAAAATGAAACTTGTCTAATGCAAGAAGTAAAACAGATTTTCAAGCATTGTATAAATGAACACATTTTAACGTGCATTAAATATATATATTTACTTTAGTTTTGCTTTAAATTTTGAATTTATTGTCTATAAAAACTAGTATAATGTGGAGTCAGCCAGATTGCAGTTTTTCCCTTTGCTCTTGCAAATGACTCATTCATTTCAAAAGAGGATGATGGATATATCTGTCTCTAACGTAAAGCTGTAAACAAAAACTACCATAAGCTTATTGCCCATATCAAGAGATTGCCAAACATACTTACAGGTTAAAGCCAGCCATACATGGATCGAAATTTGGCCAGTTCAGCAGGGGCCAGCCAAGATTTGATCCATGTATCGGCTGGCTGATTGTATCCAAGTTGATCCATCATTCGACTTGGGTACAACCAAACTGTTGGCTTTTTTGACATTCGATTACTGCCAGCAGCTCTAGGGAAATAAGCTAGAAGTAATTTTGGGACACTAAGTTATGCTGTGGCCTACAGGAGATTGGACACTTGCACACAGAGCTAACACAGACATTTAGGTATAACCCCTCTTTATTCCCATTATGTTCCAGTTTTTTTGCTACTGTCCTATAAAAAATAAATGTCTTCTCTCCTCAGAGAGGCACAAAACGAAATATTATTTTTTTCTGCATTTTATGAAGATTCCTTTTAATCCAATCCAGTCTCTCCAGCTGCTGCAGAGCTTTCCAGATCGGCTGAGCCTCAGCATAGCTGCAGAGGCTGAACCTGGACCCTAGTGTGAGGAAGACAAGGTCACTGGCCTATACTGTGATTTGCGGGCATTGGGCTCTGCTGTGGTGCTCCCCAGACTCTTTGTGTACGCTTTGAGTAAGTTATCTGTAGAGCGATGTGAAGCACCAGGGCCTCAATGTACTTGTCTAGTGAAGTCCTATCATGAAGATTGCTTTGGGAGTATACCCACTGCTGAAGACTGTCTGGTATGTGCATACTGTCCTACCCTGGCCCCTGTCAGCCATCCATGCCTTCTTCTCCAGAGTCAATCTCTGATTTCCCTCTGTCTGCGACTGATTCTGCATATTCAGCTGAGGATGTTGAGGAGTGTGCCCCGTACCTTTGGAAGAGTTGGTACATGAGGAGGTTCAGTTTGCTGACATAACTCCTAAGGATAGCATTTAATTTCTTATTGATTCAGTACGCACATATTTATACCTTCAGCAACCTGCAACTACTTTCTCTAAAGTTATCAGACCCAAGAGACCATCCTGTCCAAATTACATATAGCATCCAGTTCATGGGCCTACTCTACCAATGGAGGGGTGTTTGGTTTGAGTCAGTGTCTGGCAATACCGGTACGTGCTGCGATAAGAAACTCAAGTAATAGGCCTTTCTTGAAGTGGTTGTAAAAGCGAAAGGGTGATTTATCAATTTATTTTTTACGTAAAACATGTCATACTTGCTCTGTGCAGGTGAGGGAGGGGCACTCCTGGCCCCTCCCTCCTGTCGAGTTCCTTCATAGCAAGCTTGCTATAGCTTCTGAGCCACTGCTCTGTGTGTCCATTCAGGAGCAGAGCATGACTCGGTCCTGCCCCCTGCTCTCTGCTCATTGGCTCACTGGCTGTGGTTGAAAGTAGCAGAAACCAATGGCTCCAGCTGCTGTTTCAGCCAAGAGAAGGAAGAATCCCCAGAGCCGATGCTCTCATGCACACGTCACTGGATCGAGATGGGGCCCAGGTGACTTGGGGGGGGGGGGGGGATGAGGGGATGCATGAAGGTAAAAAAACAACCTTCCACTACTTTAATGCATTCTCTGCAATAAAGATATAAAAAAAAAACCTTTTACGGGTAGCATTCCCCCCCCAAAAAAAAATACCTGAGAGAGAGAAAAATATAGGGCCATTATTCACAATTAGCCCTGAACTGTTAACCTGTAAAGGATTTGAAAATGGCACCTATGGAAATTTTGGGTACAAACATTTGTTGCTGTTTCCTGGTGGGTGTACAATTTTGAGGGTTGACATGTTGGGTATCAATTTACTCAATACAACCTCATCTGTTATCTTTTACCAAACAAATTGGATGATATATTGTGTACACTTACATAAACTTTAGTGTATTCTTTACTGAAAATTTGCATTTGATAAACACGCATGTTAATATCATGTTACATAAAAATAATTACAGCTGCCACTATTAAATTCTCCAGGATCTTTGCTTTCAGAAATATATATACTGTGTGGTGGTTTAGCAATCTTAGGGGGTGACTTACTAAAACTGGTGCATTTGGAATCTGGTGCAACTGTGCATGATAGTCAATCAGCTTCTAACTTCAGCTTGTACAATTAAGCTTTGGCAATAAAACCTGGAAGCTGATTGGTTACCATGCACAGCTGCACCAGATTTTACACTCTCCAGTTTAATAAATCTCCCCCTTAATCTTCAGCCTAAATTGTGCATTTTACCACGTGTACAAAAATGTAAAAGATGGCGCTGGTAGCAAAGTGGTTAATGAATTATTAAGAAAACAGAATTTTTGAATACTGAAATCCTTTTCTTAGTGTTCATTAAAGTATAACTGAAGGAAAAACTTCAGATTTAGTTAGAGTGGAGAGTTTTTAGAACACGTCAGGTTTATATTGCTGTATCTGTCCCCTTTATGGAAATTCTTCCACTCTATGGAAATTCATCCACTCTATTTGTTCTGGTGACCATTTTAAATTAAAAAGTGAAAGATAAAAAAAAGGTCATATTTTCAGTGTTCACCAGAACTGGGATAGTGGGAAATTTCCAATGGGGATACTGGTTGTGGTGACTCTGGTTACTTCCAGGGATTTCCCTATCTTCCTGTTGTGGCTATGGTACAGGAAGTGATGGGAAATCTCCCCAGTGAGGCACAGGTGAAAGGAAAAAAAAAAACTGAGAGAAGTTTTAACTCTCGCTTACTCTATCCAAAATGCAAAAGAATCGCCTTCAGTTCTACCTAAGGACACCAGTCCTTTTACCCCTTCCATTCCTAATATTACTTTTCCACAAAACTTGAGCTGCATGATGGGAGTGGGAGGGGGTATACCTGGGTATTATACCAGTATAAACCAGTGTGTCAAAATTACTTTTGCCCTGTGTCCTTCTAAATTGGTTCTAAACTGTTGACCATAAACCGCACAGGAATGAAACAAATCCTCCTACATAAGTTGTACCTGCTTATCTGCGGTCTTCTCTTCTCTACATTGTTTCAAAGTCCAGAATTTATAAATCTTTTCTGAGAGTTCAAAAAAAAAGGGGGCAGAGAGCTGAAATTACACACTGCATGTGTGGACTCTGCTGTGGTTTGTAACGATAGTAATTTTAGTTCTTTACATTTTTTACAATTACAATTTTTTTTTTGTTTGTTTAAAAATAACAAACATGTTATACTCACCTGCTCTGTGCAGTGGTTTTTCACAGAGCAGCCCGATCGTCCTCTTCTCGCGGTTCCCTGCAGGTGCTCCTGGCCCCTCCCTCCTGTTGAGTGTCCCCAGAGCAAGCAGCTTTGCTCAAGAGCTACTGCTCTGTGTGTCCATTCACACACAGAGCCACGGTTTGGCCCCACCACTCTCTCTCCTCATTGGCTCACTAGTTGTGATTGACAGCAGCACTGTCTCAGCCAGTGAGGAGCGAGAGTCTCTAGAGAGCCAAGGCTCTCATACAAATCACTGGATCAAGATGGGGCTCAGGTAATCACTAGGGGGGAGCTGAGGTGGAGCTGCACACAGAAGGTTTTATACCTTCATGCATAGAATGTATGAAGGAAAAAAAAACCTTGAGCCTTTACAACCACAATTTTAAAACCAGCTGACACCCTCAAGAAAGGCTACTGGTGTGACCATAGTGTTTGTTTCCATTTTCACAGAGCTGTAGATTTTTGTTTTGTTTTGTTTTTTTTAAAGTCTAATGAAGCTTTATTATATTGGCATTAATAACTGTGCTTGGTAGCATTCAGTTGTGTTTTTAAAGCAAGTCTAACCTAAATTACCACTTTTAATGCAAATTAACTTTTTTGCAACGAGTATTTTTGGTACTTTTGCTTAGTAACTAAAACTTAGCAGCATATATGTGGAAGTTATAGTAGGTAATGGACCTGAAGATTAAGTTATCAAAAGGGAATAATAATTTACCGTATTTGCCGGCGTATAAGACGACTTTTTACCCCTTGAAAATCTTCTCAAAAGTCGGGGGTCGTCTTATACGCCGGTATACGGCATACTGACACTTTTTAGGGGGGCGGCGCGTTGCCGCCGCCGCCCCCCCCCCCCCCCCCCTTCCCCCAATGGAAGGGACACTAAGTACAGGGGTGGGCAGCGGCTGTTTCTTACCTGGTTCCGGTCCCACGACGATCCGGTCCAGGAAGCGCGGCTGCACCTTCAGTTCGGCCACTGGATGTTCGTGCGGCTGCTCGGCTCCGCCTCCTCACCAGTGATTGGCCGCCAGAACTGTAGCTCAGGAAAGGCACACAGGCGGCCAATCACCGGCGAGGGGGTGGAGCCGAGCGGCCCCGCGAAAATCGAGTGCAGGACCAGCAGGTAAGTGGTCAGTGTAGAGGTGCTGCTGCAACCACATATGCTGGCTGCAGCAGCACCATACGAGAACAGGGTCAGCAAGTGTCAGTGGGAGGAATAGTGCCCCATCATTGGTGTCACTGATACCAATGATGGAGCACTATTCCTCCCACTGATACCAATGATGGGGCACTATTCCTCCCACTGACACCAACGATGGGGCACTATTCCTCCCCCCCTCTGACACCAACGATGGGGCACTATTCCTCCCCCCTCTGACACCAACGATGGGGCACTATTCCTCCCCCCTCTGACATCAACGATGGGGCACTATTCCCCCCCCCCCCCTCTGACACCAATGATGGGGCACTATTCCTCCCCCCCTCTGACACCAATGATGGGACACCATTCCTCCCACTGACACCAATGTTGGGGACACCATTCCTCCCTCTGACACCAATGATGGGGCACTATTCCCCCCTGATGCCCACTCTGACACCCACTGAACTAATGATGGGGCACTATTCCTGCCATTACCAATGATGGGGCACCCCCCTCTGATACTAATGATGGGGCACTATTCCTCCCAACTAATGATGGGGCACTATTCCTCCCCCCCCTGATGGGGCACTATTCCTCCCACTGACTAATGATGGGGCACTATTCCTGCCCTCCCAATGATGGGGCCCCCCACTGACATCAATGATGGGGCACTATATTCCCACTGATACCCCCCACTATTCCCCACTGATACCAATGATGGGCACTATTCCTGCCACTGATACCAATGATGGGGCACTATTCCCCCTGCCCCCCCGATACCAATGATGGGGCACTATTCCCCCACTGATACAATGATGGGGCACTATTCCCCCACTGATACCAATGATGGGGCACTATTCCTGCCACTGATACCAATGATGGGGCACTATTCCTGCCACTGGTGTGCATTGGAAGAGGGGTAGTCTTATACGGCGAGTATAGCTCAAACACTAAATTTTAGCAGGAAAAGTAGGGGGGTCGTCTTATACGCCCAGTCGTCTTATACGCCGGCAAATACGGTAATCATTTATATTAGATCAGTTTACAATTTTCACTCTTATGTTTTTGAGTGCAATACTGTATATACTGATCAGCCATAACATTATTACCACCCACTTAATATTGAGTTTGCCCCTCTTTTGTTGCCAAAAGAGCCCTGCCCATCTAGGCATGGACTTTTCTAGACCTCTAAAGTTATGCTGTGGTATCTGGCACCAGGCTGTCAGGAGCAGATTCTTTAAGCTTCCACCGGATTTCCTTCTTCCCATAGTGCATTCTGGTGCCACCTCTTCCCCAGGTAAGTGTTGCACGCACAACTGGCCATCCACATGATGAAAAAAAAAATGTGATTCATCAGACCAGGCCACCTTTTTCCATTGCTCTGTGGCCCAGTTCTGATGCTCACGTGCCCATTGTAGGTGCTTTTGGCTGTGGTCAGCATGGGCACCCTTATCGGTCTGCAGCTATACAGCTCCTTGTGCAACATACTTCAATGCACTGTGTTCAGAAATCATTCAGTCAGAACCAGCATTAACGTTTTCATCAGTTTGAGCTACAGTAGGTCTTCTTTTGGATTGGACTACACATGTCAGCTTTTGTTCACATGCTTCAATGAGCCTTGGGTGCTCGCGACCCTGTTGCTGGTTCACTGGTTTTTCTTCTTTGGACCACTTTTGGTAGGTCCTGACTACTGCAGACTGGGAATGTCCCACAAGAGCTGCAGTTTTGGAGTTGCTCTGACAGCCATTACAATTTGACCCTTGTCAAAGTCGCTCAGATCCTTACGTTTGCAATATTTCTCTGCTTTTAAACTCATTAACTTCAGAGTCAACATGTTCACTTGCTGGCTGATATATCCCACCCACTTTCAGATGCCATTGTAATGAGATGATCAATGTTAATTCACTTTATCTGTCAGCGATCATAATATTAGGGCTGAACGTGTATATGAAAATAAGGAATAACACAAGCTATTTTCTCATTTATGGGTACCTGTAAAAAAAAAAAAAAAATATGGATTTTTGTATTTGAACCGTAGGCAGGCATCTAAGTATGCAGAATGCTCTGTGTGTAGGAAACATAAAATTGTTGTGTTTTGGAATAACAAAGATGCACAAGAAAGCAAAGTTTTTCTTTTATTTTGCCTGAGCTTTTCTTTGCTAGACAAGTCCTACAATATCTATTACTTCTTCTTGTAGTATTACAGGGCAGGGTGGTTCACTAATCCCTGAGTAGACTTTACAACCACTTTGAGTAATTTTAAAACCATAAGACACCCTCAAGAAAGGCTGCTGGTGTCACCATTGTATCTGTAGTTTCCATTTTTACAGAGCTGTAGATGTTCTTTTGCTTTGTTTAGTTTATTTAAAGTCTAATGAGGCTTTATTATATTGGCATTAATAACTAGTAGGTATTGGACCTGAAGATTAAATTCTTAGATTTGAATCTCTTAATTTTGTTGTCATAAATCCAAAAGTTCACATTGCAGGCAAAGTTAGCTTAGCACCCAACGAAGCACCAACTTTACCCAGAACGTTGTGAAATTTTGGATCCATGGCAAAATAAGGTACAGTAGGGTTGTAATGTACTCCCTGTTTTATGAACTGAAATTATGGACCTATGCATAAGTTGAAACCTCTTGAGAAATATGGTAAGTTACCACATAATAATGAGCAATTTACCTTACCATGTTGTACTGCTTCTGATTATTTCTTATTTTTAATAATCCAGAGCTTCCCTAGGAGCCCAGAAATGGATTTATGGTTCATGAAAGACACTTGCCTTCACTTTGGCACTGTTAGAGTACCCCCTCCCAATATCTCAAGGAAAGTGTCTCACTCTTAACTAGGCTCCCAAATTATTTGTTTGTTCACCTTCATGGGGAATTCATCAGGGAGAATAACAAATCTTTGCAGTGACCTAGTGAGCATAACTGGACATTTTGCTGGGTAAATCCCAACACTGGCACCCACCAAAGGAAAAGGATAGTATATCATTCCAGGTTCTTGTGGTTATCAGATTTTGGTGTTGGCATTTGGCTTCTACAGATGCATACCTTCTACATACTTTAATAATGGTAGACAGTATTGACACACCATTAGATAGTATCAACAAACCTATGTGCAGTTCATGTAGTATATGTATTCCGATGTGAAGATGTACCCACAGAAATATGCAAAAAAAAGGGGGGGGGGGGGGGTCCTGAAAGGTGAAGTTACATAGATGGCACTACGCTTCGAAAAATAGTACATAAAATAATTTTTGGGTTTTACAAGCCCAGTTATTCATAGGTATGCTTTCTGCTGAGAACAGAGGTGTATATAAGACAGGTCTTTCAGCTCATAATGCCAAATATCTCAAGAATGGAGTATACTCATAGAATTTGGCAGTCCTGTCCATCGGACTTACATCTGTTGGGTGTAATAGATCCATGTGGCCCATGTCTTATAAAATGTCATATTTCCCTTTGAATTCATGAACCCAGCATTCTGCCTCCATAATCCTATCCATCTCTACACTTTAATCAGACAGGGTAGGACATACATCACTCTTCAAATAACGAGGTAAAAGGATTTTTTGCTGCTTTGAGGAAAAAAAGTAGAACACTTCTTGTACACTTTTACTGAAATTGCTGTATCATGACATATTTGAAGAGGATCTTTGCTTATTGGAAAAGGTGTTATTCTGTTTATACAAATTAAAATGTCATCCCATTGTTTTTGGACTTTTGGACAATGCCACCATAAATGCATAAACGTGGAGTAGTGTTAATGTAAACATATATATTTTTTTTAATGCTCCCAAACATTTCGGTGGGGGCACAACCTGCTTTTCTTTAGACAAAACAAAAACATCTGTGAGTTCTATATATTCTATATAGAGTCATATCATGTGGTCTTGCATAAGTTACTTTACATTTGACTGTGGTGATAATTATAAAATGTAGCAGAGTATTCAAATTATGATTTCATCTCTTTCAGGCACTCAATGGATTTGTCTTGGTGGTTGCTGCAGATGGCCTTGTCTTCTTTTCCTCATCCACCATTCAGGATTATCTTGGGTTTCAGCAAGTATGTGTTCTTGCTATATTGTTATTCATGTTCACCTGCTATTTCAGTTTGCACCCATTTTTGTTTTTTTTGTTTTGTGTTTGTTTTTTTTGTTTTTTTTTAATTTTTGGAGGTTTGGGTAAGGTGACCAGAATTCTGCTATTTTATGGAATCGACACTGTTTTTAGAGAGCTGTCTCTAAATATAAAATGCATTTGCTTCTATCTCTGGTTGACATCAGCTGCTCTTTTTGCAGAACAACATTTATTTAGTTCAGTTTTTGCTTTGAGGCAGATGTCATTTACATTTACTATCAGCATATGGATTTCCATTGTTATTTTAATATACTGTAAGGTTTAAGTTAGGCTATCCAAAGAAAGACAGTTGTCTTTCTTAGAATAACCTGTGAGTTACCTGCCTGCTAGCAGTAGCAGCAGGAGCTACCACTGTTTCTTTTGAGAATTACCTGACAGATATCCTTCTTTCTTCTCATTCAGAGGGAGGAAGGATCAGTCAGGTCACACAGAGATTTTCCAAGCTCAGAAATCTCTTTAATCCATAACAAGCACTTCCGACAATCACACATGCACATGATCGACCCCTAAGGTAACCCCAAAGGACCTGATCCTCATTCCAGTGTCATTTCGGGAAACAGAACAGGTCACCTATGTCCGCTCTTTAGTCATGTGTCACAGGCTTATACAAGAAAAAAACAAGAGCTGCACAGGAGTTGAAGATTCACATTGCCGAGATGTTAGGTTCAGCTTTGTTCTTGTTTTTAATTTCAAGTTCAGAATGTAGAAAGAAATCTCCAACTGGTAATTTGGTGCTAAATTTAAACCAAACTTATCAGGCTAAAACTGAAACCTGAAATCTGTGGAGCCTGACACAATCTTTTTTGATTTTTGATAGGTTGAATATATTTTTCAGTCTATTAATAGCAGTATTTTGATTTATTATGATTTTATAATGTCTGCCTCCAATTATGTTTTCAAAGCGCATGTAAGCTAATGTCTATTAAAAGACTGCTGCCATGACAGAAATACGAAATCTGTCTTTGCGGATTTATCTTTAAAAATGCTAATTGCCTGGCTGTCATAATTCCCTAGCTTCAGAATTTTACTTGTTACAAATATACTTTGCAGCCAGTGAAGTCATACATTGTTCTGTGTTCATGATTCAGAAGTATTGAAGCCAGAGAGTCAACATGACAGTCAGACAACTTGAATTTTTAGATAGAGGTCAGATAAGGCAGCTTATGTTTTCCCAAATGACAGGTTTCCTTTTAAGTGTATGCAAAGGCAAAACTTTTATGTTTATAGTTTTTAGTTTGTGATCGAGTAGGGAAGGGTAAAACCCTCTGTCAGGTCATAAAATTTGTCAGAGTTCCCATGACAACAGTCTTGGGGGGAAAAACACCATGAGGGGAAATCTAAAGTTTCAGTTTGTCAAGGTGATACCTGTTCCAGTGACACCTATCTAAGATGTTTGTTGGTGTCAGAAGTGGGATACGAACCCAAATGACACACAGGTATTGTGCAAGCAATTATTCCCAGGATCCTGAGGTAGTGGGGCAATGAGGACAGGACGCGTTACCAATTAACCCATTCAGTTGTTTCCATAACTTTGGGCAAATTTCCTCTCACTTCCTACAGAGTCTCCAGGACAGGATATCAAGGGATAGAAAATGGACAGCAAAAATCTGACAGGGCCTTTAATCCGTTCCTGAACTTAAACTGAAAGCAACATTATGCTGTACATACACTTTTTAAGCCCTCATTCACATAGACCTCCTGTGTTTGTTTTATTTAAATGCAGAAGAAATTGATCTGGAAAGCATAAGCATACCCATATTAAATTTGTCTGCATTTAAATAAACCTACATTTACATGCATTTAGATGTGTTCAGAGCATCTGATCTGCCCCTAAACAATGCACAGATTTCTGTATTCTAAATGTAGCTGAATGCGCATGTAAATAACACCACCTAAAATCATTACAATTGCAAATATATGTGGTTAGAAATGTCATATAAAGGCTTATAGCACACCCTTGTGAATGAAACCTAAAAGGATCTATATGTAAACATTACCTATATTTTAAATGCTACAGTCAGGTCCATAAATATTGGGGCATCGACACAATTCTAACATTTTTGGCTCTATACACCACCACAATGGATTTGAAATGAAATGAACAATATGTGCTTTAACTGCAGACTGTCAACTTTAATTTGAGGGCATTTACATCCAAATCAGGTGAACGGTGTAGGAATTACAACAGTTTGCATATGTGCCTCCCACTTATTAAGGGACCAAAAGTAATGGGACAATTGGCTTTTCAGCCGTTCCATGGCCAGGTGTGTGTTATTTTCTCATTATCCCAATTACAATGAGCAGATAAAAGGTCCAGAGTTCATTTCAAGTGTGCTATTTGCATTTGTAATCTGTTGCTGTCAACTCTCAAGATGAGATCCAAAGAGCTGTCACTATCAGTGAAGCAAGCCATCATTAGGCTGAAAAAACAAAACAAACCCATCAGAGAGATAGCAAAAACATTAGGCGTGGCCAAAACAACTGTTTGGAACATTCTTAAAAAGAAGGAACGCACCGGTGAGCTCAGCAACACCAACAGACCCGGAAGACCACAGAAAACAACTGTGGTGGATGACCGAAGAATTCTTTCCCTGGTGAAGAAAACACCCTTCACAACAGTTGGCCAGATCAAGAACACTCTCCAGGAGGTAGGTGTACGTGTGTCAAAGTCGACAATCAAGAGAAGACTTCACCAGAGTGAATACAGAGGGTTCACCACAAGATGTAAACCATTGGTGAGCCTCAAAAACAGGAAGGCCAGATTAGAGTTTGCCAAACGACATCTAAAAAAGCCTTCAAAGTTCTGGAACAACATCCTATGGACAGATGAGACCAAGATCAACTTGTACCAGAGTGATGGGAAGAGAAGAGTATGGAGAAGGAAAGGAATTGCTCATGATCCTAAGCATACCACCTCATCAGTGAAGCATGGTGGTGGTAGTGTCATGGCGTGGGCATGTATGGCTGCCAATGGAACTGGTTCTCTTGTATTTATTGATGATGTGACTGCTGACAAAAGCAGCAGGATGAATTCTGAAGTGTTTCAGGCAATATTATCTGCTCATATTCAGCCAAATGCTTCAGAACTCATTGGACGCAGCTTCACAGTGCAGATGGACAATGACCCAAAGCATACTGCAAAAGCAACCAAAGAGTTTTTTTAAGGGAAAGAAGTGGAATGTTATGCAATGGCCAAGTCAATCATCTGACCTGAATCCGATTGAGCATGCATTTCACTTGCTGAAGACAAAACTGAAGGGAAAATGCCCCAAGAACAAGCAGGAACTGAAGACAGTTGCAGTAGAGGCCTGGCAGAGCATCACCAGGGATGAAACCCAGCGTCTGGTGATGTCTATGCGTTCCAGACTTCAGGCTGTCATTGACTGCAAAGGATTTGCAACCAAGTATTAAAAAGTGAAAGTTTGATTTATGATTATTATTCTGTCCCATTACTTTTGGTTCCTTAACAAGTGGGAGGCACATATGCAAACTGTTGTAATTCCTACACCGTTCACCTGATTTGGATGTAAATACCCTCAAATTAAAGCTGACAGTCTGCAGTTAAAGCACATCTTGTTCGTTTCATTTCAAATCCATTGTGGTGGTTTATAGAGCCAAAAATGTTAGAATTGTGTCGATGTCCCAATATTTATGGACCTGACTGTATATGAAGAAGAAGTCATTTGTCTTCATTTGTTCAAATTTAGAATCTGAGAGGTTGTTTTTTTTTTTTGTTTTTTGTTTTTTTTTTACTGTGACCCCCCCAAACTGAAATTGTGGATACCGCTCAGACTGTAAGGATCCCTTTCAATAAAGCCAACCACTGTGAGAGCAGGTTAGGATGGAGCTCTTCCTGGCTCCAGACAGCAACATACAGGGAAGAAAATGTCCATGTGAGCCGCACGTCTCCGCAAACCCCAGGTAAGAAAGTGCAACAGCCTCAGCCCGGGCTCCAGCCAGGCCACACCCCCAATACATCCCACTTCGCCCCCGGAGCTCAACCATTGGAGATATCCTCTGGGGGAGGGTGGATTGGGGGGCGTGGCCTGGCTGTAGGCCAAGCTGAGGCTGTTGCACTTTCTTACAAGGGGTTTGCAGAGATGTGCTGCTCACATGGACATTTTCTTCCCTGTAGATTTTTTCTTTTCAGGCATATTTGAGGCTATATGTCAAAACGTCAGGCATTAACCCCCCCCCCCCCCCCCCTTTTTTTTAATTTTTTATCCCTGTTGTATCTTTTATATGTGAAAGCTCTGATGGTAAAGGAAAACTATACCGTGTTTTCAGCAAGTACAAATTTAGATGTGTTTTTCATTTACCTTACAGTTAAAGTGTGTTAAAGATAACATTTTTATTTTAAATTGAAAACATGTCATTCTGATCTGCTCTGTGAAGAGGTTTTGCACAGAGCAGCCCAGATTTTCTTCCTTCCCTACCGGTGCTCTTAGCTCCTCCTCCCTTCTGTATGCCCCCCCCCCCCATAGCAAGGCACCTGCCACGGGGGCACTTGTGTGAGCTGCTTCCATGCCACCCCCCTTCCACACATGGAATTGACAGCAACCTTAGCCAATGGGTTAAAACCTTGATCTGTGTATTGTCTCTGTATAGTTGGAAAGCATACAGGTACAGGGGGCAGCCATATTTGTTGAATGCAAAAGCAGGCTCTGCCTATGTTTTAGTAGTTTGGCACAGTGCTGTGCCTTACTGCTGCTTTCTTTCAATGCAAGCATACCTATCAGGTTTCACTAGTTTAAAAAAAATAGACGTTGTACAGTCTTTAGTAACCTGAAATATGCACTATTTACAACGTAGCAAAGAGTATATGATCTAGGACTCATGAGGGGTAGATTGGGAGAAATGGTTTATTATTGGAAAAATTTGATTTTCACAACAAAGATATTTTAAACAAATAAACATTTTCTTTAT